AGAGAGAGAGAGAGAGAGAGGAGGAGGAGAGAGAGAGAGAGAAAGAAAGAGATACTCTTCCTGGAGGCTACGGCGGTAAGTCATAGCCATTCAATCTAACGATGCCGTCGTCATCGTTGACGACGAAGTCCGTCAACGTTGAGGACGAGGTCCGCAAGCAACGCGCGCGCGCGAGAGCGAGGGTTAAGCAAATAAAATCCAATTAAGGCAGCGAGCCTGCCCTCAGGCCCGGAAGGAAAGTCCTGATTGTAATGGAGCCTGTCGGCGGGCTAGTGCTCCATTACGCGCGATACCTTGTTATAAACGCAGTCAAATTAAACCCGCTGCCGCCGCCGCGACGTGACGGACGTTTATTGCGGGCAAGAAATCCCGAATAATCGCGCGGCCGGATCGTAAATCAGCGGGACGTGAATGTCGGACTTTCGTCGTCGCGTTGTTGCCTCGATCAGCAACAAAGTGATTTCCCCTCGGTCCCTTTGTTTCTCCTCGTTTCTCCTCCTTCGCGAGCCGCGGCGGAGGAGCCGCGTCCGGGTGAGGCGAGACGAGGAGAGGCGAGATGTTTGTCGCCAGGCGAACGCGGTGATTAATCGACTTTTTATCGATGAAAACTTCCGACGCTCGATCCCGTAACATAACTATGTAATAACGTCAATGTCGCGGTTCCTTCCAACGGCCAGACCTTCGCCTTTATAGAGATGTAATAGGGTTGTATCTCTGGGATCGGGTCGTTCATCAACGCTGACGCGTCACGCACGCACAAACGCGTAGCGATCGAATCGCTTACGCATCGTCAAAGTCGTTTAACCCTTTCAACGTTGTGTTAGCATTGGTAATCGGCCACATGACGATAGATCTATTCTGATCACGATGGCCGGCGGTTAAGGCCGCTATACGCTTCGTTAATTCGCGAAAAACGAAGAGAGTACATTGTATCCCGAGAAGGAAATGTTATTTACGCTGCTATACAATCTAGGTTGCTGTGTGTAAAGATATCTTGTTATACTTTCAAAGAGCTGCTCTTTCCTTTAACGGAGTAAAAAAAAAAAAAAACTAAAGACTTTTTATCTAGAAAGAGAAGGAAGGAGAAAGTAGTCTGAAGTACATAAAAGATGTATTTGTTAATTAGCTTTGAATTATGCAAAATGAAGATAATTACACGTGATAAGAAAGCTTACATAATTATACCGAAAATCACAATTCTTCATTAAGATTGTAATTACTCATAATCACATTTGTTCGAAAGTAATTTGCGATAATGCATTGTTAGCGATGTAAACTAATGTTTATGACATAAGAAAAGATAGTAGAAATGAGGAAAAGTATATATCAACAAATTCTTTATAATTTGATTACAAAAATATATTTTCCATTTAAAGATCATTTTTATTTATCAGAAACTTATAAGTTTCTTATGTATCACGAAAAACTAATTTCGATATATCGATTAGACAGAGTTATTATATAATAATAACAACATTTGTGATAAATAACAGTGATGAACAGAATAGTCGCAACATTTTTATTTTTTATGGGTTTTGGAATGTAACAAATATCCAATTAAAGAATTCCTCTCCATAAAATCAATTCTCTTATTAGATATTTAATACATTTCGAAATCCATCACGAATTAAAGTGTTGCAACTATTCTGTCATTGTATATTGACTGCATTCAGTAGAAAAAGTAATTTTGCAACTGTTGTAAGATTCTTCAATGATTGGTATTTATACATATAGATTCATGAGGAATTAAAAGCAAAAACCAATCATATGAAAGATTTTTACAACAGTTGCAAAGCTGCTTTCTCTGCTGAACGCAGTCATTTTATATCAATGGACATGTCACTTACTTTTCTCAATTAAAAGGAGACCGTGAAGCGCGAGGCAAAGTGGAGAAAGTCATTTCAAAAATTTCAACGCTGTCAAACGCACATTATATCCGATTACATTTTTCTTAAAAGAAAGAAAGAACGATCACTTTATCTCCGACACTTAAATCATTTTCGCTTCGTGTACCATTCCTAACGTCAAGAAACTAACCTTCGTACGTCGACAGGATTACTTCGAGTGATGTCCCCTCGTTCTCCTGCAAAACTCCGCCCTTCGGCTTCGAGATCGTTCCCGCGGGATTCACCTTATCTGCTCCTTATCTGCTCTCACATCTGTTTACCGAGAAATCACCCGCGTCGCGCCACCGGTCTCGGTTCCCCCCGGAGATACCTGTTTGCTTCCCGGGTGAGAACTCGCGCGGACACGTATCCCGTCTGCCAAAAGAAGGGAAGAGAGGGAGAACCAGAGAGACATTAGGGGAGAGAGAGAGAGAGAGGAGGGAGGGAGGAGAGAGAGAGAAGAAGAGAGAGAGAC